TTGGGGCACATGTGTTCTTTCCTCGGCGGCACGCGAAGACTGAACTTGAATGTGGTACCCTTTTATTGTTTATTTACCAAAATCTGGCCCCGGCAGTCAAGGAAAATGAAAACTTGATGCATTGTATTATTTTGGGGAGCCATTAATGTAAGGTTTTAACGAAGAGAAGCTTGTAAAACAATAGTTTAATTTTCCACGTGAAACAAGCAAAAGGATCAGATTACACGAGGAGATAAGGAAAGCTTGATACGAAGAATATATAGTCGCTTCTGGGGAAAAAATCTAACCAGCAAATGGAAAAATAAGAATAAAAAAGAATTACAAGCCTAAAGCGAACGACGAAGGAAAAGAAAACAACGCTATTTTTTTTCGAAACCTGGCCGAAGTGAAAACAAAATACCGACGTGCCGTACATCGCATGTCCTTGAAAACATTTCAAGCAGCGCAGCCAATCATTCTAAAATTCAATCGGGAACTCGACAAAAAGCCTCGGGAAATTTTAGAGGAGGTTTAAGTGATTAAACTGCACAAATATTTATCTACAAAGTGAAACCGAACCGACACTGACTAATTTTGTAGTGGTAAGAGAAACGATCATTTTTTTTATATTTCCCCGCAAATATTACCGATCGCTTCCTCTGCAAGCTGTTTTATTCTTTCAAAAAGGTATGCCTCATGACACTTCAAACTTTGATATAGCAGGTTCGTAAAGCCACAGCAGTCTGAGGACTGACTCTTCTCCGAACCTAGTTTATACCTCCTTGCATAGCTCATCAGTTTTAAGGAAATAATCCTTTCAACAAGAAGGGACCAAGAAACTGTCAAATGTTGGAAAAAAGGAATCTTTTCCTATGCAAAATATGCATGTTTTGCTCGTTGGCACTCTATCGATAAGTATACCTAGTTTTAAATAAACAGTTGGAAATTGGACTTGCCTTTAAGGAAGGCTACAAGAAATAAGTCATCGAGGTGAAGAACCCTTTTCTAACCTATGAAAAGCTATAAGTTTTACTGACTCGAGGAAAATCCGTGAATCCGTTGTGTTGACCCACACTGACAACAACGTCACATTCGTTCTTTTTTAAACTGCTCATGTTGTATCTTCCTCTTTTTGCAAGGAGTAAAGGATAATGACTTATTCTTTGATTTAAATAAATCTGCAAGCTAGTGTCCCATATATCATTGCGAGAGCACAGTTCCTCCACCAGGTCTTTCACTTGACATGCGTCTGGTCAGTACATCAGGATCTTGTTCAAAACACAAATGCATTACCTCTTGAAGCTAAAAAAAAAGAATAGTATAAGTAAATTTAAAAAAATGAAAGAAAAACAATTGTTACTATAAAACACCTAATAGATATTTACAGTATGGCTACCTAATTTTAAATAGTTAACGTTTGCCTACTGTTCTCAACAACATTCTTAGCATGAGGAGCTTTGCTCAAGAAAAAAAATCTCAGCAGGCGCCGTAAATTGATGCCCTGGTACGCGATAGGAAGGTGTTTGCTTGGTGTCATAAAATTAATTAAGACCGGAACATAATAAGTAAACCAGACGCCAAGTATCCGCGAGAGACACGTCATTTGAGCGCGAGGAAAGGCGAGGAGCCAGCATCCCACGAAACGGTTTTTTTGCGGCGTGACCTTTCTTTTTAAAATGAAAAAGATTTTGATCATTCGAAATGTATCTTCTTAAAAATAAAAGCTCGCTTCATTTACCCGTAGAAAGTAATTTACATGAATTTAGACTTACTGTTGGTGTGTAAAACCGATAAACAAATCCAGATCGGACTGCCGGTGATTTGGACGGCGCACGCCAGGCTTAAAAGACATTACGTTAAAGTATTTTATATTTCCTTTGTCACTTTGATAAAATTTTGAAGGAGCGACCCATATTTCATGTGGAAATATTAAATACTCGAGTGCCGGAGTCAGAAAATCCCTCTTGAGACACGACGTGCGTGTGTGACAAAGCGCCGTAAAAACTTGTTTCCAGTGCCACTAAAATGATTGGACGGCAGCGTACATGTACGATTTTTTTTTGTTTTTGACGGTCAGGCGGCGATCATGCGATGTAAACGAGTTAAATTCTTACTAATTAATTAATATTCTACCTTAGACTTTCAAAGTTCAAAAGCGCTGTGGTTTTGATTTCGAAACCATTTGAAGTGAAGGCGACCGTCGACGGTATGAGTCTTCGTTTCCCATTTCGAGTCTGTCGAGGGTTACAAGCCCCAAAAGCATTGGCATGCACTCAAAAAAGAAATATGTGGAGTCCGTCCGACGGGTTTCTCCAAAAATGAAATATTTAGGAGATTTCCTGACGAAAGACGTGGCAACGCGGGAACTTGAACCCGCCAAATCGGCCTATGCCGTAGTGGAATTCAACATGATGCCAGCTACTGTGTACGTCGCTTCCACGTCCGTTTGATCACTGGTCTTCTTCGCCAGAAAAGCATTCCACCGGATGGCCTTGTAAATTCTGTTTTTCTTTAAGGTAGAGGTCAGACTAAAACGGACTTAAGTTACATATTAGTGATATTAGACTTGAGGTAAGTTTGTTTTTAGTCAAATTATTCCCAATACAGTGAGGTATTTCTGTTTTCTGGTCACTTCAATTTAAAGAAAACATTTAGCTTTATTATTCTGTTTCTCTTGGATAGTCAGTTTATTTATGGGCTTTTGTTATCTGATGACCTAATTTTCATCATTTTCATTTTGTACTAACTGGTTCTGTTTCTCTTGGGTAGTCAGTTCATTTGTGGACTGTTGTTATCTGATGACAGGACCCAATTTTTATCATTTTCATTTTGTACTAACTGGTTCTGTTTCTCTTGGGTAGTCAGTTCATTTGTGGACTGTTGTTATCTGATGGCAGGACCTAATTTTCATCATTTTCTTTTTGTACTAACTGGTTCTGTTTCTCTTGGGTAGTCAGTTCAATTGTGGACTGTTGTTATCTGATGGCAGGACCTAACTTTCATCATTTTCATTTTGTACTAACTGGTTCTGTTTCTCTTGGGTAGTCAGTTCATTTGTGGACTGTTGTTATCTGATGACAGAACCTAATTTTCATCATAGTTTTCATTTTGTACTAACTGGTTCTGGTTCTCTTGGGTGGTCAGTTCATTTATGGGCTATTGTTACCTGATGACGGATTATTATTTTTATTGTTATTGCTATTATTATCATCATCATTATTGAGTGATTTAAAATTTTTTTTTTTTGATACAGGGCTATAATTTGCAGCAGGTGAAGGAGTGTACCCTGATTTGCTTTAGTTTTCTTTCAGAAATTCACATAGAATTTACTTTAGTTACAATTATTGCTTGGGTACTGAGATAAACTTTCAGCGGCACAGTGTGACAAAATTGTTTTAACCAAAATTATGATAACACCATCAAAACGTTTTCATTATTAGTATTATTCCTTAATTTCAAACGATGCTAACATATGTCTGTAAAAATGAAATTATCTTGCCGCTTGTTACAGAGCTATCCGTACTTTAAAACTTCAAACACTCACATGTCTATTAGCTCTTACAAATCATTTTGTCAATGAAAATCGACGACAAAAATTTCCCTTCTCTGGCTTAATTAAGAAGCTTGAGTTGCAAAAAAATGTGTTTGTAAAACACAACCGAGTCAATTATCGTACGTTAAATAAATCAAAGCATTACTTTAGCAAAATAGAATCTTAGGGTTAACTTCCCGTGGCCTGTGCCGGAGAAAAGATTGGGCCAGGAGATTACTTCAAACACTCTGGTTGCCTTCCCTTCGCCGTGCCCTATGAGCTTTGCGTTAGATCTCACGGTTTATTATTTCAGAATCAAGTCGCTATTAAAATGAAGCTGTTATAAGTCGGTAGTAGTTACTGATGTCCAAGAATTCCAAATGTTTCTGTTTCGGGAATCGTAGTTTCTCTGGGATTAAATCATTCTCATTGAGTAAACATTAATTTATCACAGGTAAGTAAATGTACTTAATTTATCACATCGAACCTCGTTGCTGACGCCGTTTTGTGTAATGTTCCTGCCGACTACACAGTAATAGACAGAAGATAGTATACTGTTCGATCGACATAATTGCAAATAATTTCATTCCTCCCGTAAGAATAGATTATAGGCCGTCATTAAAATGTTTCTCGGGTGGTAAACTTTAGCTTCTCGTAATATTTTCTGAGTCGGCAAAGGGTTTATGTTTCATTTCCATTTTCTCTTTAGTAACAGATATAAACCCCGCTCTCGTTAAGGTTTGGTTCTTGATCTTCGATTATCCCATTCGAGTGATAATTATTTATCTTGCTATCGCCTTTTATAATTATGGTTGTGCGATCAATAAGGAGCGGGTTTCTTTTTTACAGTAGAGCCATGCCTTGAATACTATTTCGCGTGAGAAGTAACAGTTTACGTGTGTCTCCACGCGAGTAAAGCCAAGAAATGCGCGTCCGTATCTGGAAAACCTTTTTATTATGTCAAGAAATGTCTTATTTACACGTCTCGTGATTCCCACGCCGGGTGTTTTTGGATGTCGGCAAGTGCGAAAAAAGTAATTACCGAGGATTCCAAAGTAACACCTCAGTCGTATGAAGGCGCGAATTGTGATCTCTCGTTTCAGTTAATCATAAGCCATGGGTAGATTCAATCTACCCTTAGCCTAATTTGCATAATTTTTTTTGGTGAGCAAAGCCCGTCATGTTGTTAGCTTTAGTAACAACGTGTACTTCAAAGGCTACTGAATTATACATAAAAGCAATGTACAGTGAAAAATAATCCTCTAATCAGCCCCCGGGGGAGGCTTATGTTTTGAATGGGGGCAGCTTAATAGAGAGGGGGACTTATTTGCCGGAGTGCATAGTTAGAATTTCAAGTGGGGATTGGCTTTTATAAGAAGTCACACAAGGCTCTTCAGGAGTCAGTCCAGTGGACTTTAATCAAGGTTCTCAGCTGTCATGCATATCATAATCAAGTGTCACGTGAGCTATATTAATGTCAATAATCGATCTATTGTTGCATACGTAACATAACAGTTACCTCATCAAATTCACTAGAGTCGCGGCAATTGTTCACCAATTCACTTAGAACGCAACCGAACTGAAGTATATTCTTTCCCGAAATGTCCTTCACTGAGTGTCCATTAAAACTACATTCAGGAAAATCCTGAGAGACCCGCTGAGCGAAGCCAAAACTTCCCAAAACAGCATTTATTGGGGGAACCTGATAGAAAGAAAGAAGATATAAAGATGTAAATATTTTTTTTTTACTATTTATCGATCTCCTGGACCTAGGGGACGTTTCGTCACGTGACTTGACTGTGTCATAGCCTACGTATGTCTTTCTGTTATAATTTATTGTCTGTCATCAGCCTCGTCCCTTGGCGTTCTCTCGCCCCGTTATCCGCGCAAAGTCTGGGAAAAAGCGGGCAGAAAACACTTTCTCAGCGAGTCTCTCTTGGTGACATCACAGCTCACCGTAGAGTCCAGGATTGACAGAGCCAAGAATGTCAAGGAACTAGGCTGGTCTGTCATATGAACCCAATGCAAAAATGGCCGCTAGCCTCGCTTGAGATAATGGTTTCTCTTGAATTTTGTATACAGAAGAACGAGGCTAGTCAGAATTAATCAGGCTAATTTTGATTTTAACAAAAGAACATTAATCCAGCAGCCATTTTTGCATTGGTCTGTTGGGAAAGTTGTAAAATCAACATAAAGATGCTAAAAGCTTAACGGTAAATAAAAAATAAAATAAAATAAGAAACTTCAGAAGTTGATGGTAGGTATCCTAATTGTGCCAGCGAGGGTCCGAAGTCTCAAACGTACCACAAGGGGTCGAACAGGTTGGACATTTTAAATTCCATGTTCTTTACTGATTTCTAGATCTCTGAGGGAGTCTCTAATGGCATCTGTCTAACTGGATAACAAATTTACGATGGTTGGCACACAGAAAACCTGGCTGCAAAAAAACCGCGAAGTACAAACTTACGCCATCCCGGGTTCTGGAGTCGGTTACTAACAAAACCTAACGAGCAGGCACCAAAATCTGTGACGTATACAGAAGTCGATAAAGCGAGACACGACACGCATGCGGCTACCCTAATGCTTTTTACTTACCCTTAATCCTCTACCAATCAATACACTGGAGGTTGTTATGTTGTTATGGACGACGCCTTTCTGTTCTAAGTGCTGTATTGCGGAAGTCAAGTCCATGGCCACAACGATAAGGGAGTCCAGATTAAAAATAATCCTGTTACTTTTTAAATACTCCTCCAAAGTCGTGTTTGCAGAAAAGTCGTAACACAATAAACTATATATAGCAGAATCAGGAAAAAATTGAAAGAAATAATAGATTGATTAATCGATTGATTAATATACATTTTTAAGCCGGGTATTTCACTGAAAGTCAATTTCAAACCAGGCAGTTATAAGGAAAAAATTAGCTCTTTGTTATGAAATGGCATGCAAAATACACAATTAAAGGACAACATAACAGTGGTATTTTAATCAAGAACACGAAAAAAGTCGAAATTTTGTTTAAGACCAACCCCTTTTTTATGAAGCGTCTTTCTGACGTTTGCCATGATAATAAGGACTTAACTCCACGTCACAATCGGAGACCTTGGAGCTCAAAATCCCGTAACGCTAAATCTCTTGAACACAATCGTCTCCTATGAGAAATCTGACAGTTTAAAAGAAATGAATGGTTTCAATTACGATAAACTTTTCTTGAATCTTGGAAATCCTGCTTTCTTGTAGTTCACATCACACCTTTCGGCTGCAAAAAGTAACATAAAAATAAATAGTATTTTTCCCTACGTGTAGAATAAGCCATTCGGATTACAACTATGTACAAGTAATAAGTGTCATCAGAGCAGCCTAAGTATTGCCAAGGCCCGACACTGTGTTGGGTCCAAGAATGTGTAGGACCGAGCATTTCATAATTTGATACGCGGAACCAAAGGACGAATATTTCAGAAATTACTAACTTAGGCGTTAAGCTCGAAATTCGATCCGTACCCTAACTTAAATTCTTTCGATAATACATTTTCTTACGTCGCCATTTACATGTATTCAACAGTTGAAAAAGGTAAAGTATTTGTTAACTGCCAGGAGCGTAGCCAGCGTTTCGATTAGTTTTAGGCCTGGCTGACTTTCGTTTTCACAAATTGCGCGCATGACTAGTACGTACTGACCTCACTAACACTGAGCTCTTAAGCTTTTTAGCTCACCCCAACAACGTATAATTTATTACAAGAGGTAGAGTAATCAAACCAAACATTTGTGGACCCGGGCCCCTGTCTGCCGCATACTTGCAGAGTGCCAGCAGTATTTGATTATATTGGGATGCTCCAGTCCCTGCCTAAGCTCTTTTGCTAATTCAACTTCCTTTTTCCAGTCCTCTTCTTTTATCTTTGAAAAGTGCTTTATCAGTCGAACACACGGGTTCTTTTTACTGCCGGACCACGCTACAACAAATCCCTAAAAACAAAATGAAAACTTCAGAAGTAAATTTTCATGAATTTTTCGTCAGCACAACCTTTAACTTTCTTGCAATTTACAAAAATGAACCTGTTAAGTTAAGTATTGCCTGTTTTAATCCACTCCACTGTTTCACTTCTATTTGTTTTCATATGAATTACCAAGCTTCCCATGGAACTTCCATACATATGATACATGAATGACATGCACATAGGACCTTGCGTTATAGGACTTAACAGCCTAACTTTGTCACCATGTCGCCGCGGACGCGATGCTTCAAGATATGCATACTTACCATTTCCTAGAGATTTTGGAACAGAAATATTTACTGAGTTGACGCTTTCGATCACTACACATGCACTGAGCTTAGTTATTTTTAGAATACCAAGGAATCACAAAAGCACGATTCCGGCATTAATTAGCCTGCGTAGCATGCGTTTCCTTGCGAGTTCGTCCAGAAAGTTGAAAAGAGACCACAAACAAAAAGAATGCAGGGGGAGGAGGAGGGCAGAGAAGGAAACGCTTGCCCGCAAACCCCACTATTTTGAAAAACTGCGTTCGCCCACGAACGCAGCTTTTGATTGGTGCGGTGCTGGTAGTGTTGATTAAATAGCATTCAATACATCAATCAAAGCACTAGTATGTTTTGTTTACGAGCGTCGCAAATCTGGTCTGATCTGATCTGTGGTCGGAGATTACAAAGGCTTTGGTCTGAAATTTATTGATTTATTGATTTTATTGTATATAAACTCATGTAAATATTTTTTGTCGTAACAAATGTAAATATTTTTTTGCCCCGTTGTAATTTTATTATTGTATATTTGTTATTGTTAAAAACTGAATCATTTGATAATGCAATTTTACCGTTTTGATTGGCTTAGCCATTATGGTATATGAGCCATTATACCATGCTCTCCATATATGGTCGGTGTACGCGTCGGTTTAAAATTGGAAGCTAGCTGAGAATTTTTTCCGCGAAGAATAGAATGGCGCCCTAAGCAAATCGTTTTAATTCATTTCTTAGAATACTAGAAAATGCAATTTCATCGGGAAAATAACACGCAAACAAAAAAGCCACAAGAGCTTGTTTGAAAGTTTATCGAAAGACACATGAAAATACATGGAACTAAAGTACCTTGACCAGCTACGAAGGAAGACAAGCGTTGTTTCTTCATGATTGCGAAGCCACTCGCAGAGTCACTCGCCGAAAGATAACTGCGGCTTGTTTATCCGACATGAACAGTATAAATCACAAGCAACCAGAATACAGGCTATGCAGCCATTCACTACAGCAATCGAGGCGTCAGTATAGCTTCTTTTCTCGTTCAGCAAAACCAGCTGGTGGCTTCAAATAACTTCATAACAAGCGACCGAGGTAATAATTTTCTCCGTTGTTCTTACTTTTGTAACTGCACCGAAAATCCAAATTCACAGTAATTTCGACGGCTGTTACTTAAAAATTAGTTTTTGTCACATTATCTGCCAGGTTTTTTTAGCTGTCCTGCTGTGTAAAATCCTAGAATCTCGATGAGTTTTTAAAAGTGTTCATCGTTAAAATGTTTTGATTTTTCATTCATCCAGTCCAGGCGAGTCCGTTCGCGCGTTGACAGTTATGATAGACGTGACATGTGAATAGCTGAAGTCCCTTGTCTTTTCTGGTTTGTTCTAACAAAATTAAGTCGGAGAGATTCAACGAGAGTTTGTGGGCGTTTTTTAATAAAACAATTATTCCACTCGCGCTTGTTGGATATGAGATGATTATAGCCAACTCGGCGCTATGCGCCTCGTTGGCTATTTACCATCTCATATCTAACGCGCCCTCGTGGAATAATTGTTAATTATTGTATATTACGACAGAATAACCCCGTATAGAGGAGTCGTAATAAAGTGTATGTATGTATGTATATTTTGTGCGAAAGTCTATCAGATCTGAGTCCCTTCAAAGTATGATTGGAAATCGAGCAATGGAGACTAGCGAAGGCCAATTTATTGGAAATGACGGCGTGCGTATCTGACTGGAAAAGATGGACTGTTTGTTGGAGAAAATTAAACATCAACATAAATCAGAACATCGGTACTCGACACTAGCTACAGCCGCCATGGACAACTGATTGGTCAACTTTTTGAAATGAAAAGGTTCTTTTTGTTTAGAGGAAATTTAGCGGCATGTATTGTAGAGAACTTTTCGACACTGGCTGGCCTATAGAGAGCAGCTGCTCTGCAAAACGCATAGCCGGCGGAGTGAATTGTTCCGGACAAATCATTCCTTTGCGACGTTTTGACAAGGTTTCAGATGAGATAAAGCCACATAACGATCAAAATTTAACCTATAAAGAACAAGAAATTCCGCAGCAATCGCTTAGCTTAGAGTTTCAACCCTCTTTTATGGTAAAGCTTCTTTTTATTACAGTTATTAAAGTAAATTTTTCAAATCTGATAATCTGTTCGTTATCAGTATTTTGACGAGTTGTCAATTTACAAACGAAAAGGAAACGTGAAATATCAAGGGGCGTTTTCCAGAATCGTAAAGTTTGCGGGCAAGCGTTTCCTCTTCTCCCCTCCCTTCCCCCTTCCATTTTCTTTTTTGCTCCCGCTCTAACGTTCGCGCGATAACTCGATTGGAAACGCTTGCTACGCAGGCTATGGATTAATGTGGGATACAGATCTTATTATAACAACTATTAACGAACCTTAGTCACTGTAGCTGCCTTTAAGTTAGGTAGTGAAATGCAATGGCGAGTTCGTCTTATTTCTTTCAGTATTATAATTACACACTTTGTTATTTAATTTTGTTGTAGAGAATGGCTCTAAATTACTGTAGTCCAATGAAATGAATCACTGTTAAAAAATAACTGCCTTAAACTGAATCGGCCTCCCTTAAAATTCAAATGAACGTTACGAACTGTTAAATTTCATAACAAGCAGATAGTAAAATAAAGAAAATACCTGAAACATCAGAAGAAGGACCTGTTCTCCAGCTTGGTGTTTTCCCCGATTTTAACCTCCAGTTAAACATCGCTTTTCCAGAATTTTCATTTGCCCATCCGCAAAACGTGGAATTGTCAAAATTGCAGTCTAGCAATTGACTCAACGCTAAATAGAACGAAATTAAGCCCCAAAAAAGTGAATACCAATAACTCGCTGTAAACGAGCTGGTGCAAAATCCTTTATTTTTATCCAAAATTAAGGAGGATCTACTGACAACTTACCTACTCAACAAAGTTTTAGACGTCAACAGACGTCAATACGTTTTTACTTAATTTATCCAATTTTGTTGGACAAGTTGGGTTCTACATATTGTAGAACCAATGAAAGTGCAGAATTTTTTTAAGACAAAGTTGCGAAGGTTTAAACAACACCTCGCCTTATATCTCTTTCAAACATCGTGGGTTTTGATTGGTCCTGCATTATATGAGACAAATCAAAGTTTTAACAAAAAGGTGGGAACCATGTTAAAATAGGTCAAAAAATTGTCGCGTAGCAGCGGGATCTTCAAAGTACTACAATAGGGAGTGCTAAGCTCATTCCTGGCGAAGCCAGTTTAAAATTTTGTCGGAATTTGCATCGCGCGTGACTCCCACGAGGATCGTTTTTTTGCTATAAGTCTATCGAATTTGGTTGGTGTCCACCTTGACGTCATCCAGAGTGACGTCAAGGTGCATTGTGGGTTTCCAGGCAACCGATAGACTTGCTTTAGTCATATTTCTATTGGTTTGTTTTTCTAGCTTGTTTTTCTTGCGACTAATTTCGAAGGCAAAAGTACTTTTAAGAGAAATAATTGGAAGCGATTTGGATCATTAGCATTAAGATATAAGGGAAAATCGAGGTAACAAAACACATTGTTTGCTCGCAGACAAGTTTATACCGTATCTGCTAAGTTGGGCATCTGTTCTTTAAATGCGATGAAATGCGTTTAAGTTGGGTTTTTAACCGCTAAGACGTGTTTAAAAGGGCTCGATCAGCTTTATACAGGGCGCGCCAGACGAAGTTCTTCTGGGAGAGGTTTTAAATAAAATATTATCGCCTGTCTCATAATATTGCCCCACGTGGCGTAGTGGTAATGACACGGCCCGGCGCGTAGAAGGCCCTGAGTTAGATTGCGGGTGGAACCTATTTTTCTTTTTTCGTTTTTTTTTTTTTTCTCATTTCCGTTTGGCTCTTTATTAGTTATTGTCGTTTTTGTTTTATTTCTTTACATAGCGTAATTTTTTTTTAAATTTATGAAATTTCATCCCTATTGTATGCTTTATTTCCCATTTCTTCATACTTCTTACTTCTTGCTGTTCCTCCGAAGTGCTACGCGAGGTCCGGCGATTCATGTATTTCTCGTTTCAGCATAAACACGTCAAACACGGCAGAGTACAAATTTGCAGCTACATTTCCACAGCTTCTTGAAATGCTTGAAAACTAAAGAATCGCTTATAAATTTTATTATAAGCTATCTAAAAAAATACCATTAAAAAATATCTTCGAAATACCTTGCAGCTGTGAAGGTAAAATTACGTTCTCCGGTGTATGCTATGCGTCGTCTAATTCAAATAAGATATAGTTTATTATACGAAGTGTGAAGTGCGCTTGCCTTTCAAGAAAAACGGCGAAACTCGTGCAATCTGTTATTTTAGTAACGGTAAAATAAGTTTACCTAGTGTAAAAACTCACCTGAGGGTGGATAAGTTGGACGTGCGGAGGATCGGTAAAGCAAAGAGTTAAAAAGCAGAGAAACAATAATAAGCCAGCTGTTGAACGAGGACATGCTGCTAACCTTTCCTCTTCTTTTTCTCTAGCATGAATAGTTGAAGAAGTTCTGTCGATTAACAGGTGCCCTTACGAACTGTTGAACGGAATGTGTTCACTGACATGCAAACAGAGACAGTCTTTATTGCATTTCGTCATGATTAGTAATGCAAATGAAGAACCCTCTGTCTCAAATTTTTTAATAATTTGGAATACACGCTGTTAGATTTCCGCCGCCAAAATTGTCTAAACAAACAATATTAGAACTCTGCTAGAAATAGAGTGGCATAAAAACTGTACGACTTGTTCAAGCTTTCTAAGGGGGGAATGAAGAATGAAATCGAGTTGTGGAATAATCATTTTAAATCTACTTAATAGAGCATTATAGTCCAAAACGAATGATACAGTTTATTGAACATAGGAGTTAGTACTGTCTCTACAAATCGGTAACAAATATATTCTAATACAAAAATAAAAGAAATGAAAATCACCAGAAGGGTGCATCAATAGTGACGTTACTGACGTGTGGCAGTTGAGATGTTTGTTCTGCAAAATTTGGCCAGATTGGCTACTGCTATGTTAACTTGAATTTACGACAAGGTTCTAATTCTGGCTGTAGCTAGTATTTTTTTTTTATTAGAGGTCAAATTATAAAGGTAAGGATAGGTAGGGACTAGTTACTCGTCTAATATAATGGGTGACAAATTACGCCAATTGTGTATTAAACGCTCTCTCTACTATGTTAATTTTATATTAGACGCGCTTTGTCT